GTTCCTTTAGAGGTATGCAACATTGAAGTATTCAGGAAGAAACACAGCACATGAACACATCATCTTCAGGCAGAGCTCTTTGGTTAATAAAAACGATTCATCTGGACTTATTCTACCTGCTTCTGCCATCAAACAAACATACAATGGCATTTATTCGTCCTCCTTTCTTTATTCTAGGTAAGTATGTATGTTTTTATTTTTTTTTATTTAAATACAGCTGTTTTTCTTGGGAACCCCTGTTACTTAACTGTTCTGGCAGGTAGTTAACTATAAATGGTAAAAATGCTTTAAAATTCAATACATTGGCTGAGGTTTTTTTGTTGTTCAAAATGTCTAATGAATAAAAACCTGAAGTCTAAAAGTGTTAGTAAAACATCGCAAGGCAAACAGGGTCACACCTTATCAGACGGAACTTGTGCTGTAACTTCCCTTTACAGTTAACAGAGCTAAGTTTTCTGCAGACTTGAAGTCGTTGCCACAGTTTTGTATTAAACTTTGGTCTCTTTTAATGTCATCATTGCATAGTTTTTTCAAAGGCTGTATTCTTTCCTGCAGGTTTGATTGTGGCTCTCGTCACAGCACAAAACTTCACAACTCAACTCAATAACAGCTCATCAAGCACATCTCCAAATAACGAAACTACTTCAACTGCTGCAACACCTACCATGAACGCACAAGTAACACCATCATCAGCAATATCTCCACTAGTACCATGAACTTCACCACCACCAACAGCAGCACACTTACACCCACACCAACAATGACAGGAACGGAGGGTGAGAACAATTGTCTTGACTAATTCCCTCATGCTTGTACCCTTAAGTTCAGCATGTTTTATTTGTTACTGATTCACTTTTTTTGTTTGCACATGTCCGCTGATTCAGGGGGTGAAACTACTCAAGATGGCAAAACATCATCACCCGAAATGCCCACACCTAAACCTGGTTATACTGATAAATCCCCGACACCTACAATGGAAGACAACAACAAGGACAAAGGTGCGACCACCGAGTCAATAAAAAATACACCCAAGAATCTTCTGTTTAACTTAGCCCATGGATACCACAGTTTAACCTTAGCAAACATTGTAATATGCTTACACTTGAATGCTTATAAAAATACTATTTACATAAGAGTCTGTAAATGTGTCAGTGTAAACAATTTCAGTTACTGAAGTTATATATAAATGAAACTTGAACTGCATGAATATAACCTTAAAACTTACATCATCTTCTGCATTTACACAAATAAATCCAAATGTTGACTGAAGAACAAAACTAGATAAATTATGTTTAAAGTCCATCTAAATGTCATTCATTTAAGGCTGATTTAATCAAAATTATTTGTATAATTTTATTTGAATTTACAATGGATAAAACATAGAATACAAAGAGCCAATTATCCCCAGTTCCTTGAGTTCTGAACATTACATTGACACTCTTTTGGCTCAGCCTCTTAGCTCTCACAAATGTACTTTAACGGGTAAATGCTGCGGCATAAAAGTTCTGATGCATTCACAGTAGCCTACATTTAAAGAGCCTAGAAGAGAACAAAGAAACTGGAAATTGGATTGTTTCTGTTATCTATTCTTTTTTTAAATTTGCTCCAAATGGAGGCAGTTTTGCACGGTTGGCTAAAAGTGTAAATATCAAAGACAATTGTTTGCTACCACATGAGCCAAATGTTTGTTAAGTGGTAATATCACAGTTGGGTTTTAGCCTACTTGTTTGTAACTTGTCCCTGTTGGCAAAAAATCTGTTAATGCACCTTGAATTCTATAATTGATAATGAATTGAAGTTTGGCTGCGACAATTCCTTCTGACTATATTATGGGGGAAAAAAAGCCTATCCTTTGACGACCCATTTGTTTGTTTTGCTATTGAGCCTGCTGCCAAACTTAATAACTAAACGCATTGTTTTATGTTGGACTTTGGGCTTTGAAACATGAACTTATTTTGTTGGGGTTTATTCCAGGCAAAACCACCGATGAGAAAAAAAATGACTCGACTGGTGAGTGACTTAGTTTAAAGGCACTTCAGCTCATTATACCAACGATATTATCATAGTAAGCATGAATTGTATAACCACCTTCAGGTATCGTCATCCTCATTATAATTATCATCATCGTTCTTGGATTTGGTGTTGTCTGTTTCTTCGCACGGAAGAGAGGAAGGGTAAGTTTGATTCAAAGTTTCTTCAACTAATGATTCAGGCATCGTTTTACGTTTTTTGGAGATATGAGCAGATGGTTTTCTCACTATAATCAAGCTCCAAAAAGCAGCTTGTAAGCAAAGCTTCACATGAATGCAGAAAAAATAGTGTAACAGCTAGCCTTAAAATATGAATACATTTAGTACAGTGTTTGTTCAATCCACATAATAGGGTATCACAAGTTGTATTACTAGGTGGAAGGCTTTACTTTAGCTAACTGTGCCATATTACATAACCATACCATACTATACTAGTTTCGTCACTGTTATACATGGGCCAGGAATACACAGACATGGAGATGTTAGTAAGGGCTGAAGCAGAAAGAGCCCCCAAGCATTCTGGGGTATGATGCCTTGCTTAAAGGCTCCTCTACAGTGCTTGGGAAGTGAACTGGCATCTCTCAGTGCAATCAGACCAATTTTCCACTCCAGTGACCCCCTCCACTAGTACCCTAAACTTTACCACAATTGTGAAATTATAGAGCAAGGCTAGCTGTATTCCACCCTTTTCCATTGTTAATGCTAAGCAAACACTGCCAGCTGCTGGTATTAGTTTCAAATTGATTTTAGACTGGTTGTGGCACTCAAATGCATATTCCTGTCTGAGTGTTCTGAATCCCCTCATCCTACAGCGCTACTCTGTTGACTTCACATCCAGACCTGATGATGCCAACATTCCTCTCAGCATTGTGGATCCTGAGTTGCCTATCAATACTGTACCTCAGAACGGTTAGTCCAGAACATGAACTGTGTACAGTAACAAAATCGTTAGTGAGAGGACGCGACATTAACAAAACATTTACCTTACAAACATAAGCTGATTGTGATTTTCTTTTCAGGCCTGCAAACCTTTGAAAGTGTCGAATCAACAAAAGAGCCACAAGAACCAGAGACAAAACCTGAAGCACAGGAGGAACAGAAAGGTACGATAGACATGGGGCATGATCAGCATTCTCTGGTTGTGTTTAAGTACTGTATCATTGGAGCCCTAGAGAGAAAGAACAGGGAGATTGTTTAAATTTAAACACTCGTTTTGTGGCCTGTGTTTCTTCCTCTTTCTAAAGATCAGTTAAGCTGTATAAAAGGAAGCACAGTTTGTGTAAGCCTGGCTGGAACTCAAAGCAACTTTAAATTGAGATGTGAATGTTCAGAGTAATGCAGACTTTGAACTTGTTAGAAGAAAATATGCTTTAAAAATGATTCATCAGCCAAATATAAATGTGAAAAAGAAAAATGTTAAGATACCACTCTCTCAAATACAAAACCACAAGGTATTTCTAAATTGTTTGTGAGCGAAGATGTTGTGAGTTCTATGGTAAGGAATACGGATGTTTTTTTACAAAAGCCTGACTCATGCCGGGCTAGAGGAAAATTCACTGATGTGCAAATGAATCCACATCAGTTGAGGACTTCTAAGTAAAAATTTGAAATGTCAGTGACGTAATGTTTGCACGTTACAGACACACAACACTACCTCTTTTGGAGAGATGTGGAGTTGAAAAAAATAGGCCTGCAGTTCACACGTTCACCACTTGATGGAAATGGAAGTCAAGTTTACACATCACAAGCTTATTCATCTTAACTGCAGCATGTACCTCATGGTTGATAAACATAGTGTCATTTTGCCACAGAATTGTTTTTCTTCTTTTTTTTTTTTTTTTTACAAGAAATACGAAGCCTTTATCTTAATAAAAATAATAGATATTTGGTAGCAAAGCCAACACATATGGGATTTTTTTAGGACTTCATCTAAATTGTATACACCTCTCGTTAGATTTCATCGATAATACTCAGTGCCATTATACCTTAGTGCCAAAAAAATCGTGGTGCTTATTCTTGTGTTGTTGTTTTGACATTTTCATTTTGTCTGAGAATGAATGAAGTGTTCCTATTTTACTCCAGGAAGTCTTCCCATGCTGAATGAGAAAGGTAAAAAAGGCAGTTCATGTCTGGACCTGCCTTTGCGCTCCAGGCCACACTTTGTTTAAATGGACAGTGCTGATGGTCGTTTCAAAAGCAGCTACAGTAGCTCTCAGGGCAAAGACTTAATGAAACCTTGCCAGAGATCAGAGCAGGTCAACAACCAACTTTGAAATCATACACCTGGGTTTGTTAATGCTGAATTAAATCCAATCCAATACCGATCTGGATTTAACTCATGATGAAGGTTTTTCCAGAACACTTAAACAGTTTTTCAATTAGAGAACTGGGTATTGAAGAAACAGACGTTTAACAAATTGTGATTTCACAACACTGCCAAAATCTGTTAGGCAACAATTTTGAGAGTCGGCTTGTGTTTTTGCGGGGTGTTTCCTTCACTGATGAGACACAGAATGAGATAAGTGAAAACTAACTTAATGACTGGTGACTTATATAATGTAAATAGAAAGTTAAACTTTCACGACCCACAAACTTTTTTTTCTCCCTGGTTTATGTGGCAGGAACAGATGCAGTATACATGGAGAACTGAACAACAATTTTCCAATGCACTGCAGCACAGTATTTATAGCTAATGCTCATTTCCAATGTCTGTCCCTGAAAAAGAATTCAATATAAAATACATATAAAATACATAAATGATAAAAATGTATGGAGAGCATGCTACAACATAGTCAAATGGAAGAAACGCCTCAATTGTCAGCCAAATTATATTGTGTGTATGCGCTCTGTTGCTGGTAAAAAATATTTCACCAGCTGTCCGATTTGTAATTTCCTGTTAGTTGTTTGCAAATACTTCTTCCTTTTTTTAAGCAGTGAGATGTCATTGGGCATAGGGGCATTGCTTCAGTAGATGAGGCAGAGAAGAAGGCATAAACGTACATGGTGAAACCCGTCATTGAGATTCAGGGTGATGAAATGAGTGTACTGTATATTTGGAAAACTGGCCTTGATCTTTAATCAGATTTTCTTACACCTGTGTTATCACAGAAGGTGAAAGTGACGATTGTTCCCACTCTCCACAACAGGCTGAAGCTAGACCTCCCACATAAGCACATGCAACAAAGTGAACAGGAGAGGGAGGAAGACGCCACTCAAAGTCTATACATGGCAGCCAAACAAGTTCTCAGAAGTGGTTGTATCTGCCAAAATAGGTTAAAAGGCTTGTGGACTAAGGAGACAGGAATTTAGCTTAGCTTAGCAAAAAAGACCTCCAAAACCCTTTGAGGCAAATTGTTCCAGGGTCAAAGCAGCTTAAGTCCTTAAATTTAAACCACTCCTCAATTTAGCTAACTTGGCCAATTACCTTGTAACAAGGGTTGGGCTGCATTTTCAGTATCAGCTGCAGTATCAGAAATGTGTGGCGTGAGGACCATTGCTCAACCATTTAACAAGTTTTGATTAGCATTAACAATAGCATACCACTACCTCAGTCTCTGACACTTTATGCTAACATCAGCAAGCTAACATCCTAATGTAAGGCAAGTAAGGTTTCTACGATGCCTTGCTCAAGGGCTCCACGGCAGTAGTGCTCACAAATAAATGTATTAGACAAATTTATCACACCAAACTCATTACACTAAATTGTCTTGTCACTTTTGATTTTGTATCACATTTCAAGGCAATTCATCCTGGGTTGTTGAGATATTTCAGAGTTACTATGTCTTGTAATCTTTTGGTTCAACAATGAGAACAAGAATCCAGGTAGTCAGAACACCCAGCTGTTGTTCTCAAAGCATTGATAAGTGAGTTTTTCAGGGGCTAGAGGAGAGCAAGGAGAACAGTTTTTCTATGCGCTTCTGGTCTTTAAAATTAGGTAACTCACACCTTGCTTCACTGCTTATCTGATAAAATGGTATGATGTGATAATTACTTTCACATATACCTGCTGGAAGGAAAATAAGTTGTGATATCTTGTTGAACTATTTCATTGAAGAATAAATAACATTTAACGTTACAAGTTTAAAATACAGATCATATCGCCAGTGCAAGGTGACTGAACACTAGCTAAGGTCAGTAGTCCACCTGTGATAAAGATTCTAGGCATTCCCCATAAACCTGTCAGAAGCAATGATTCTCTGAGGATTGGGGTAATGCCTGAGGAGCCATCTTGAACAACAGTCACCTTCCTCTCCCCTTCATCTCTGCTTTCCCTCCACCTAACCCCCGAGTCGGATAATGATGGGGCTGCCCTACTTTCCCACAGCCTCTAACAGCTGCATGGCTGTGGCTCATTAGGAACTGGTCAGTAATCAGCCACCTCATTACCAACGTGGTGGCCCCCTGAAATGCCTTGAGAGAATCCCACCCCCACCCCCAAGACTGTCAGAGAGGGCAAAACTACCTCAGGCTATAGGTGTAGAAATACTGTTATCAAACAGAAAGCCATGAACCTTAAAATCAAATCTGCAATGTCATAGAAGTTAACATGATGGAAAAAATGTCAAAACAACATTTCACAATTTATTTATTGCAACAGTTAAACTTCCGATTAAAACTGCACGACATACACGTTGTGTTTTTCCAGTTTAAGCCAGTGACTCAACCTGCGTGCTGTTTTGTTTCATGCACATACTGACAAGGGTTTCAGTCTGCATTAGGTTTTGTTTTGTGTTTTTCAATTTTTAATATTATTGCCTGGGTTATGTTGTGTTTTGGTATTCACTCTTGTCTCTGTCTTTCAGATCCTGCCCCTCTTGTCCCTAGCTTCTGTGTCAGCTCCGCCCTGATTACCCTCACCTGTGTCTCGTTGGTCCCTGATTGTCTGTGTATTTAATCCTGTGTTCTCCCTCCTGTTGCCAGTTTGTTGTGTTCTCAGTGTACCCTCGGCCCAGCATTATAATTATTCTTGATCCTCGTGTATGACCGTCGCTGCTGTTTTGACCTTGCCTTGCCCAGCCCTCTGTATTTATTTATTATTGCCTTACCGTGTACAGAACCCTGCCTGGATTAAAGACTGAATTATAACATTCCTTCTGAGTCCGCTTTTGCTCCATACTATGAGTCTCTGTGTCACATACAGTATATATTTCCTTGATAATCACTGAAAAAGATATGTGGTGTTTTTTGTTAACCTTCACAGTTGATCCTGATAAATCTGTTGTTGAACCTGCTGCTGAGTCTGCAGCTCCTGCACCAGCACCAGACAGCCCTGAGGACAAACCCAAAGAGGAAGGGGTTGAGACGACTCCTCCTGCACCTGTGGAGCCAAGTGTGGACGAGAAAACTGATGACGAAGGTGTCGTCTCCAACAAGACGTCAGTGGAATCGCTAAAGGAGACAAACGAGAACAACAGCAACAGTGCTGACTTCAGACAGAAGCCAGGTTGGTATTTAAGTTTGTACCCATAAAATGGAGAGAACAGAGAACAGATTTCCTGCTGAATGAGAAGTGAATTTCTTGAAATATCGTGTCTCGAAATTACCCTAAAGATTGTGATTTCAACAGTTGACTTTCTCTCTGAGACATGCTACCAAAAAAGGGGGAAAATATTAAGCTAATAAGATGAATTATGTGACTTGCTTAAGTTTTTTAGTGTTTATTTTTATGCATCATTCTTTTTTGTAACTTATACTAAAAAGAAAAAAATATTTCTTCTTTGACTTTTAAACAGATTTGATGTCCAGCAACAGCTTCTGCGATGTTCCTCTGGATTGTCCTGTATGAGACCCCTCTGTGCCCCCTGTGCTGTTCTTCAGGAACTTGGTAAGAGCACAGAATAGACACTGTGCTGCAGCTGCTCAGCCAGCTCAGGTGTTGGTAAAAGGGAACCCCCCCCAAACTGCATGTCAACATTCACACTCGTACCACCACTGGGAGTGCTGTGTTACAGCTTCCTGTCCTGAAATATGATTGTAAAAATAGAGGAGTCATAACCATTAAGTCTAAAATTATAAAAATGTGCCTGTCCAAAAAAATGTAAATCACACTGACAGTCTGGCATCTAGGAGTTTATAAATACACACTTTCTGCATCCATAACTGATTTTCTCTACTGGTTGAAAAAGTCAGTATCAACATGTAGTCATCATTCCTTCAAACAGTGTCTTTTAGTTTTGATTGTGACTATAATTTTATATATTTTTTTAATATAACAAAAAAAGATGTCATTTGCGAGATAACTATATGTCAGTCTGCAAAATGGTATGAAATTGATTTTGTTACCTAATTCCCAATCTGATTTGTTAACCCTACCACCGCCATCATTATCACAAGACAAAGTTCCACATAACCCGTTACAGTAACTGAAACATAATTATAAAAAAGCAGTTGTTGTTACTTTATTAATGTGAGACTATACTGATTTTCTCCCGTGATCCCCCTAATTCATCTAACACAATCCACACTTGGCTGCATTCTTTTGCGCCTCTGTTCCTGCTGTCCTATCTCCCAGAGTCTTCTTACGAGTACTAACATGGGCCCTCTCAGTCTAGTCATCATGTACTTCAGGATGTAAGGCCCACACCAGCACCTGCACCCCCCCCCCCCCCCCCCCCATCTACTCAGAAACACTCAAGGCAGGAGCCTTAGTCCAGAGGAATTCACACTGCTCTTAACAGCTGATGATAAGCTCACATCTGAAGCTGAGCGCTCAGATGCTGTGTGTTCATCATTCACGGATCATCTCCATTCTCACAAAAGCACCAGCTTTAGATATCCCAAGTATTTCAGGGGAGGCCCTCACTTCTATCCTATATATCTTGGGACTTATCTATATTGTATCTGAAAACCAAAGTTATATTAACAAGTAATCATTTAAAATTACAGTTCTACATCTGAACCAGCTCTAACAACCAAATTTTTCCTGTTTTGGTCAGTTCGATGCAAACCTCTTTTATGTCAGTCAAGATCTTATCTAACCTTAACTAAATGGCTTTAAATGTCAAAATAGCACCAAACTCAGGAAAAAAACATAATGCCAACTTGTCCATTCACCACGCACCTCAACCACATTTGTTTACCCATATGGACACAATCCAATGTTCTCAAGACAATTTAAATCAAAAGACATCACTGCTACATGAGCATTATTTCTTGGTCACGGGCTTGCCTCACTTTACTCCTGCATTGTCCAGAGCTCCTACGGAGAAAAGAGGAATAAATTGCAGGTGACCTATTTTCTGAAACTGATATAATTGTTTCTCTCCTTTTTGTCCAAAAACAAGTTGAAGAAAAAAAACAGCTAACAAAATGTTTTAAGTTTCATCTGCAAAACAGCCTGGGGGGGGAGAGTGTTTACAGGTGAGAGGTTTGCGTTGATGAACTCTATAGCTTAAGGCATCCAGCTGTATTCATTTCTGGTGGTATGAAGTTTACTCAGTTTGGAAAAATATCATAGCTCCTTTGTCTTCTGACTAGACTTTTTTTAACATGCAAACATTTGTCTAAATACCAAGATGTCTGAAGATGGACCAAAGCTTTTAGAGTTAGTGGCTTTTCAATATTTTGAATGCTCATCCAAAATAACTTAAGACTCACAATGTATGTATTGGAAGATCATGGAAAGGAAATCTTGTTTACATTTGTCATAGTCATTTACTTGTGCCTGGGAGCGTGTAACCTAATAGCCACACAAATACGTCATTTTAAGCTGCCAAAAACGCTACTGACATGGTCTCATTTCTTTTGTTTCCTCAACAAAACAACAGGAAGAAGACATGTATCATATGTGAACCGTTAATGTATTCTAAGATTCAAAGAAAACAACGTTTATAGTGCAAACTACTCTTACATGAACACACATCTATATTAAGTTCCTCACTTTGGTAAATTCTGCAAATGTGCAAAACGTGAAAGGAGTACTATTGGAAGTAAATATGAAAATTTAAATTTAGTTTTAAAGATACATTTGAGATTAAGATTTTGTCTTTGCTCTAAGATGATATTTAAACTTGTTTCATAGAAAACATGTCCTGAGAATACAAGAAATTCTAAAGCTCCCAATTAGAAAAAGTAAAAAGTGCACTCTTCACTCTTTCCCACCTGGTTTGGGAAGTGATAAGCAACCTGGAAACTGCAGTTGAAAGGCTGCTCATTGTTCTGCTGTTGAGGGTAATGGATACGAGCTGACAAGTCATAAATTAAACCAGCATAATTAGACCCGGGGCTTCACTGTGTCATTTTCCAGTCAGCACTGGGCTTTCATGTTTGATGGCTAATGTTGGAGGAAACTGTCTGTCCTGCCTGAGATGAATATTTCACAGAGAGGAGGTGGCAAGTGAAAGAGAGCGACAGACTGAGATTTAACTGTGAGACAAACAGGGGTAGTAGTTAACTAGAGGCAGCTTGTTTTTTTTTTCCGCAGAGGCTGTTTTTGGAGAGTGGATGATGGTGCTGGTTCAGAGACAGGTCAAGGAAATGACATGGGTCAAGGATCTGAAGATCTTTGTTCTTACAATTTTTTGCGAGGATAGGCAACGACTTAAGAGTTTGAACTGAATTAATGGATTTTACTTTGAAACTTTTTGTCTCTTTTTTTGGCTTCTAGTAACATCAAAAGTCATTATTTTCTTGGGCGCATCTGCAGGTGTAAACAATGAGTCATGGGTTGGCAAGCTGACAATGCACCATACGGTAAATACAGGATTTTTCTCTCAGTAATAACAGTTAAGGGAAGCTTCCTGCCTGGATGGTTTGATGTGGTTTAGATCGGCTGGTTGGCTGGTACACCTGGGCATCTTTACAGGAGGGAGGGACTGTCGGAAAATGCAGACTGACCCTCCCCTCACACTACGAAGAGCAAACAGCTGGTGGAGGAGGTTTTCTGCCACTTCCTCTCTCGACTTCCTACCACAAAACATCAAGTTTTGGTCGAGTCATTGAAAACTTGCAATGCAAAGTCTTGATGATGGCTTTTAGACTTGTATAATTAAAGGGCTGTGTCTTGCATACATGCTGTTTATGCACTTTGGGGCTGACAACTGTGTGACATCACTGGTGAAGATTTTGGAGAATTCTGTTTTCTGACAGAAACTTACCCAATCAAATCAGTATTCTCCAATTTAAAAAAAAAAAGGCTCTTGGGGTGCCCTTGGATGAGTTGGTCCTAGTTGTCATTCCACTCTCTCCCATTAGTGTATAAAATATCATGTTCATCATCTACAAGTTTAAATAAACCCAACAACATTAAGGTGTTTAAGACATGTCCATCACTTTAAATTGTAAGTTTGATAACACTGAATTTGGATTAAGATGACATTCATGAAATATAAAAAGTCCTTCGGCATTTATTTTAGCCAAAGGAATGTTCAAAGTGTGCATTATCACAAGCTTTACAGTAAAAATAAATAAAAGCCTTGTGCATAGATGTTAAGTTCATTCTTGTCAGTATTTTGGGGTAAACAGAAATGATTACCCAGACACCCTCATCCTGGCAACAAAACAAAAGCTAGTATTCAATAAAAAAAGATGCATTTGGTTTCCTTCATCAGAGTCAAACTACCAGGCTTTGTGAGGTTATATTATTGGCTCATCCACAAATTTGAATGAAGATTATTGTAGAGCTTTTTGTGAGGGGCCACACAGGACCAAAGCTTATTTCTTGTAATGCATTCAGGTCAGTTAACAGCTTATTAATTCAGTTTAATTTTACATTGTCAAACCATTCTATCATTTAGTGATCCTAATGTGTGCTCCAAATTTTAAAAAAGTATGTTTTTTAAGGCATTAAAAAAAAAGAAACATTTATGCTAACAGCTGATATTGAAGCTCTCAAAGAAACCTTATTATTTATGCTCTTCCTTCCTGAGAGTCCAGAGATAAAATGATTGGTGCTTCTTTTATATCTGTAAGGGAAATGTGTGGTTGAAGTCAGCAGCCCCTTTAATGTAGCTAAAAAGTGTGGGAGCAGATTAAATTTTCTGTTTTACAGCAGGTTAATAATGTCTTGACCTTTTTTCTTATTTCTGTATGTAAATTAGGCCTTGGATTTTTAATGTTGCGCTTTAGTGCTTAATCTTCATTCATTTTAATGAAATTAAATATAAAGTGGCTGTATATGTGGTTGGATGCAGTTGTTAACGCTTTAAGTAAAAGATATGTAATAGTCATTCTAGGCATACAAGGGAGTGTCATTGGACAAAATAAATCTGTCAGTGGTGTTTGGCCTTTGACCTGTAAGGATGTCATTCCTCTTAACACTCTGTCAACATGTTAGAAATTGTGCACCAAAAAAAAAAGAGCAGGATTCAAGCTTATTGTTATCCAAATAAATTTGTCTAGTTTGTTTTGAAACTGAGCCCCTTATGAGGTCATGGTTTGCTTTTGTAAAACAGACTCAGACAGTGACAAATGAGGTCGACCTGGTTGTCAAACCAATGCAGAACTCTTCAGTCCATGTGCACAGATTGACGCTTTCCTTTGTGGCAAACCTCACATGTTAGCTTCCTGCACCATGCTTATTTATCAAAACCGAAGCATCAGTGCTCTTTCCGCTTTGGTTTTTTGACCAAGAGAGGCCTCTGGGCTGAAGTCCTTTCCGAGGCTCAAAGGTCAGACAATCCTAATTAAAGGGTCCACAGTGACTGCAGGAGAATAATGTGTCCTCAATGTCAGAGTCAACTGGCTCACATTCTTTGCCTGTCACTGGGCAAGTCTCTTCAGAATTGGATGCATAGCGGCTGCTGTGATGTGAAGCCCAAAACCAGGATACATTTCAACAAAGACCCCTGAACATGACAGAACCTGAAAAAAATTAAAACAATATTTGTGAGAACAAGGAGGAAGATGAAAATTCAAGCTTTTTTTCCAGCCCAAAATTACCTCAAAGTACAGTTTGTGTATTTGTATTTTTAAATCAAGTTCCACTAACGCTGCAGTTAAAGTCAATTTAGTCAGTATTTCAAAAGGGAAGTGAAAGTGAAAGACCTCTAAGAATCTTTACCCTCCTTTCCCCGATGCTCCAACCTACAACCTCTTATTTTAAGAGATGACAAAGTATGCTGGGCCTTGACCTTTACTATTAACACCATAGGCACTTTACAACAAGAGTGTCACATTTTGAGCATTCTTCCTTTGTAGTTAAAGGGATACTTCACCTGTTGAAACATGAATCTGTATTGACATTGGGTCATATGTAGTAGAAATGTGAAATACATTTTGAAGTTGGTTCCTTCTTGTCCGTGAAAAGGCAGAAAGTGTCTTTTTGACTCTTGTGGATGAAAGACTCCAAATCCCAGAATGCACAGCACCGCAGGCCACTCCCACAAAGGTCCTCTAGTTCAGAATCAGAAATACTTTCTTAATGCCAGAGGGAAATTCGATCGATACAGTTTCTCCAAAATATACAGTATAGCAGTAGAAATATAGTAATAAAAACATTTACAGACATATTTACTTCAACACATGAGGCCGTTTCCTCAACTGATTCAGAGATTTCTTCCAGAATTGATCTTGGAAATTCCTGTCAGAAAACAGACTCAATGTCTGTGTCCATAGGCAAACAGTGAGAGCACCGACACTACCAGTCCGCCCCGGCTCCTCGTCCTCACCGCCACAGAAAAGCAGGCATTGTGTCTCGGCGGCTGGGTTCGCGACGGCCAGCGCCTGGCTAAAACACAAGACCGGCCTCTCGGCAGCAGCCATCTCGCCGCTATATTTATATTTTTCCGCCATTATCAGCTTTCTCCATAGAGCCTGTTGGCATAGCTTCCAAGCAATATGGTGGACGTTAAGTTTCAATTCTGGGAGGGAGTTCCCACTCACTGATCTGTGATTGATTAAAAAAATATGAGGAACTAGCGTTATAGTTTCACCCTGCTAACCGCAACAGCTTCCAGTGATGCAAAAACCTTATTTTGCGTCACTGGAAGCTCATTTTCAGAATAAGAAATACAAAGATTTTCCCATCTCAGGGGAAAATGAGGTTGGGATGCACGACCATTCAAAAATACTACCAGGTTTCTAATGAAGTATCCCTTTAAGTTCATACTCTGGCAGGTGGCCTTCAAAACATTTAGAGGGTTTAATTTAGTAGTGCATGCTTCTATACAAAATGCTGCATGTCACTCAAGAAAAGTGCAGGAGTACATGGTGAAAACAATTTGTAGAGAAAACAAAAAGAGTATTCTTCTCATGTTATTTATATTTTTATTACCTCAAATATTCCCAACAGTTATCAAAGCAAGAGAAATCCTTAATTTTATAGTTTTAATGGGACATGTCTTGTCGCAGCAGCCGCCATGACAGACACGACATGATTATTGTTGCCATGGAATCAATGGATGGTATGTTAAGGGACGCTACATAAGGAAGCCGGAACTGCTGCTGAAATCTGCCGTATTGTTGCTGTATGTGCTGCTCTTAAAAAACATCATCTAAATTATACTTTGATACATTAGCTTAGTAGGTAAACATGAAGTAGGTTCTTCCTCATGTTTGTCTTGACCACAGTCAACTCGGAGTTCATTTTCATTGGGAGTGGGGGTGGAGTAGCAGAGAGAATCCTTCCCATAATTTCGTGCCAGCATCAATGTCATCTCTTGGGTTTTTTTTTGATTGAGTGTGCGTTAATAAGTCTGAGATATTTGTCACGGCAGACACTCTAGAATTCATAAATTACTAAGAAGGTGAACAGCTGTAGCTTGTTAGTAAATGTCAACCTGTTAGCCATCCAGAAAGATGCTAGCAGTAGCCATTCAGTAGCTCTCCAACCTTCAATATATAAAGGAAGATAAGCTTACCAAAGTCTTTAGAGTTGACCCTCCAGGGACTTTGACTATCTGCACCAAATGTGTTGGCAATCCACCCTGTCCACTCCAGAGTGAAATGATGGTTCAACCAACGGACTGAGGGCGCACTCGCACTAGGCAAAGTCGTCCCTTACCGTGCTTAAGCACGATTGCCCCCTCACCCTATTCCCCTGCTGGCCTGCACTCACACTGCTCATGGACTAACTGGGCCTGAGCAAGGTTACCTCTTGTCCACCATGTCGTAATCATTGAAGTGTGCTTAGTTTACAAGACAGGCGGACTCGAAAATAAAAAGTAAAAAAATAGAGAGACGCGCTGTTGAGTCCGCGTTCGCACAACACAACAGCACAGAGAATATTACAGCTGCTTTACTGACTTTGTGGCTTATTTTGGCTTTCATTTTAGTCAGATACAGGCAGAACACTACAGGATTTCTCCATAATGAAGGCTGTGTACATTGTGTATCCATGCTTGTGCTGGTGCATGAACGGTAGTGTGTCAAAGCACACTTCTTCTAAGGGAGCCAGGGACAAGGAAGTGTACCATTCTTGAGCACGGATTGGAGCACTCACACTAGTCAAACGAACTGGACTTTATGGGTGAAGCGAGCTTAGGCACGGTACAGATTGCCTAGTGTGAGTCCGCCCTAACTTGCCATCCCTACCAAAGCAAAGAAGCTGGCATTGCTAAAATGTTTGTCTAGTTTAGAGGCGTTGATAATAGCAGGATGATGAAACCACCTTCATATCCAAGTTCCTATATCTTAATGCAAATGGGTTCTTCACTGACCTGCAACTCCCCCAGGATTCAAACTCCATGAGGTCCACAGTTGTAGGGACAGATTTGTCTATTGTTGTCCTCTCCAGGCAGGTTCAAACATTCCTGCCCTGGCTGTGTGCAGTTGGCAGTGTGACTGTGATCAGGAGGCCTGCTGACAGACAGACATTCATTCACCTGCTGGTATCGCCTCCGGCATCGGCTCCACATTCTTTAGGCAGTGTCAAGCTGTCAGAGTCACACCGTGGCTTTATTACATCTCAGTCTTTCATCATTTACTCAAAGTTTAAAGTATCTCAGGTGTTATCTCAGGTGATGCTGAATAGAATTTCCTACAAAATGTAAACTTTAGTTTCCTTTAATGTCTCTGAGTTGATGTGTGTACATATTTAGTGTTGAAACATTCGAGTGAGAGCAGTAAAGTACTGTTGTTAAATCTGCATATCAAACTGTAAACCTCACCTGCCATTAATGCGGGCATGGCAGTTGGCAGTTTATGTTAAAAACCCAAATGAAGTTTTAATTGCGATCGGCTGTTTTTTGTCCCAGCTCTCGCTGAAAATAGTTTATTTAAACTTTAGTAACACTGCTACACCCATCAATGTTACTTTTCAACCAACGACCAATCAAACTACAGAGCGGGCAGGACTTAAATCAATTTTGTAAATAACAGAGGTGTGGAGAAACTGATTATTTTCTCATCAAGGTTTATCTCCTTTAACAAGACTTGTCTTTTTTTCATGGTACAATTTCCACCTATAAAGTCGCTGTAAATGCCAGGAGACAATTCCTTTGGGGTGTTTTATGTTCTCTGTAATATTTGTATGTAATATTTCTTTGGATTACAAAATATGAAGCATGAGATGCAATTTAAAACAGACTAAATGGTCACTACCAAGAGGAGTGAAAGTGCCACAAGACAACTTTTGTAACTAAGCAACAGTAGGTGCAGATTATAAGCACTCTTTAAAACAGAGGTTGTGCAGGATGCTAGCTAAAAAAACCCAGCATTCTGCATTGTAGTTCAGGAAAACTTAACCTTGGAGTACTCAATCAATCAGGGCTGATGCATTTTATCGCTCCAGTTGTTCCAACTTCTGACGTAATGTTAAACTTGTTGACTTTAGCAAAAAAGTGAAATGTTGCTGCAATAGGGGTGTTGAAGAGTTTGCTCTCCATATAACCTGATTGTTTTCCACAGAGAACTATTAGATTGTTTAAGAGGCCAAATAAAGTTAAAAAGAAAAGCTAAAGAACCTACTTAACCTCCATTGGTCCCCATGAAGTTTCATTGTTTTACCTGAATGATGTTGTGGGTTTTCTATTTGTGGGTGAATGGAAATGATAGATACCCTTGCTTGCGATTCAGTTGGGTATTTTCTTCCAGACCACTAAATCCCCCCTGGAATTCCCAATCTTTCAGCAGCCAGGTTTCACTATAGTGGCCAACAGGTCGCCACAGATCCCTATCTGTCACTGTGGTTTAACTCTCCATAGCAACCTGGACTAAGATCAATGTGAAGTCTTACCTGAAACCTGAGCCACAGTTCTCTGGTCTCAAACTAAACTCCTTTATTTTAGATGCAGTTCAGATTAACTCAGGTCAGAATAGAGCTTGTGTGGTTTGTGGGAACAAATTTGATATCTATACGATTGGGTTTGAATGATTGTCAAAGTCCAATAGATCAGTTTGCCCTCAAACCTGTTGAAAGTATTTTCTTCAAATGACGGCTGTAAATACTCGAAGGTGCAATAACAGAAAAAGCTAATTATGTATTTAGACATGTATAAGGTTGAATCCAAGACAAACCCACTGTGTCCTGCTGTCACACTGGCCTCAGGGGCAACTCGTTTTTTTCAGCCATTTAATGGTTGAGCGTAAATCACATCAATAGATCTGGAGCAGGATTATGTCAGTTATCCTCTACCTCAAACAGATGTTTCTCCTGAGAGCTAAAAGGGCATGGCAAAGGTCACATAAACTTGGTCAAAGCAGAAGTTACAAGGGGAAAAGCAGGTGATTGTTGGACACGTGACTGTGGGATGGGAAACACTGAAATATTTTTTTTTCTCTCCCTTCCAGATCGAGGAATTGCTCACAAACTCACGTGGGTGCATAAAAAAAAAAAGGACACAGCAGTTTAAACTGTTTAAGCATCAAGTCAGCTTTTGCTTCCTTTTGGGGAATAGTTTGTTGATAAAGCAGTTTTTTTTTTTATTAAAACATCAGCTGAGTCCAGCTTTTTAGATGTTAAAATCTTAACTGTATAATAGTTTGCTTTTATAAACACATGTCTTACAGGATTGAATGACTAATTAGGGTTAGGGTGGATATACTGGATATGTTTTTGGTGCAAGTAAAACACAGGTTTCTCTCTGTTAAGGATTTATGTTTAATTATAACATGGAATACATTAGTATTTTAACAAGACAATTATGTTTTCATTTATTTCTATTGTTGACAAATACTATAAATTAATTTACACTTTAAGTTCTCTGTACAGCTGGTTTAACATGACTTCACTTATTCAATGTGTGGGGAACACAAAGGTACCATAGTGGTTTTAAGTTATTGTTCACTATTAAAATACTATTGTAGAAAAAATGTTTTCACAATGCATTTGTATGTGTAAATACAAGCCTTAGTATTAAATGTATATATTGCCAAATTCCAAAAGATATGCTTAAAAATGTCTGAAACTGTTCATTATCCACTCCATGAAAAAAAAAAAAAAAGGTTAAATTTTTTATGTTGTACATTTTTGGCATGCACTTGTAAAACATTGAGAACTTTTTAAATGAAGAAGATAATTATCTGATTTTAATTAGTGTTTTTGTATACATTTAGAGTTGAATTTTGTATTTTCTATGCTGCATTGTTGCTTTCATCATTCTCTCTGATAAATTGTGAGGGGTTTTCTGTTTCGCCGTGAAATGTATGAGCATGTCATATTAAATGGACGATATTGAAACTTTGTCTGAAAAGTCTGATTTGTGTTTAATGGCCTCTAAGCTACTAAAATGTACGAAATTTCACGAACAATGTTATATTTCATTGAGTAAAACAAGCTGGAAAGAATCTAATAAAGATGGGGCAACATGCATTTCAATAAAAAGTCACGATAAAGAAACAAAATAACCTTAAAAACATCACAACCTTTTGTAATACTGTATAAAGAAGGTTTTACACAAATTATTTCCACAAGCTTATGAAATATTCACATGTGAAATACCATCAGCCACTTAAATATTGACATGTAAGAAATAGTCAGTATGTTATGTTCAGCATAATTATCTTTGCTCCACTGCTGATTTCCTCCAGCTGTCCTGTAAAATCACAACAACTTGTTTGACTGTAAGTGAAAACATGAGCTCCAGGTGCAAACACATTTAGTTCAAAGTGATAGTGATAAGATCTGAGCGCTGTCCACATGCCTGGTTCAGTCGCCAGATATGGTGTTATCTGCATTCTTTATTCGTTATTGGGTGCTATTTAAACCTTTCACAGAGAATACAATGTAGTTCAAATCATATTTTTGCAATCCTTTTTTTACATTTCCATGTGGTAAACATGAAACTCTTTCCATTTTTATTTAAGTAAAAAAAGCACACTTTTTGCAATGTGGAATTCAAACTCATCACTGAAGAACTTGTCTTTTATATATAGCTTTACTTTCTGTTCAATTTTATGAGCAATTTAGTATTTTTACATTTCCATCTACACTGAAGTGTTGCCCAGTGTTTGGGTATGATCCAGCGGCTATATCAAGCCTGTTTCCATGGGCTTCCTCTCTCCTTTAAAGACAAGCGAGAGCCCCAGCCTATATCAATCTGCCCGCAGGATGTTTTAATCCACCATTACGCAGATGAAATGTTGCACTGAGCCTGCGGTGCAGCAGTGACGGCAGGAGCGGATCTAAATTTTGTGCGCTAGCCCCTCAAACCTGACCGCAGTCATGGACACCAAAGCGCCAAATCATCCAGTGCAGCAGAACACAAACCTGTTCCTCCTCGGAACTGGATCCAAATGTCTCGGGTCTCAGTATCCTCTATTTATACGCTGTGTATATTTACAACAGACCCGGATGATTAGCATAGTGAAGAGAATGTAGGGGCAATCTACTTTGGCTATTCTAAGGAGACAAAATGTTTATAAGGGGTCAGCCACCTCTATGAAGTCACAACATGTTTTCAGTCCTTTAGAACTACTTACACCTGAGATACTTCACATATTCTGTAGTTTATCTTTAAAATGATCAATATTAATCAGGCAAGCTCTTTGAGATAAGATCAGAGAGAGACCAGAAAAGCATTCAAGCAATTTACATAAACAAGCAGCATCAAATCAATCTCAGATAATCAGTTTCCTGTGATGGAATGTAATCTACAGTTTATAACAATGTGGAGAAATGAAGGATATTAGCTCAATCTCATTAAGACAATCTAACAAAACTAAAACATTTAACAGAAATGTTTCTTGATGCCTTTAAAAACTGAACTCCTTGAACTCACATAGAACAGTATGAAGAATTGTGAGACAAAGTAAAATGATAAACTTTTTCCAAGAGTAAAAAGGGGAAAATACATCATAAGTTCTATTTGTTTTTTTTACATGCACAATATTTACAATAAAGCAGTCATTGACAGTACAATTAAGGACCTCCCAACACTGGTTGTACAAAATATTTATAGAAAATGACAGTGATGATGAAAAAGTGGAAGTCATCACATTCATTGTGAAGAAATTTCATATTTGAACTTGAATAAAATACCATTATAATAAAGGGAGAAAAATCTAAGATCAAATATAATACTCTGGTTAACCAGTGTACAGAAGAACTGAAAGAGTTGAGACTATAATATAGACAGGATGTGATGTAATGTGTTTATGTGCTTAATGAGAACCAGTTATTGGTGAAAAAACAGGATGCAGACAGGTGAAGCACTAAATAGTACTTGCACAGTGAAATATCTCAGTTGTTGAACTGTATGTGGTAGCTGTATGTCCACTAATGCTGTATGATCATGTGTCTGTTCAGGAGAAAAAATGAAATGCTGCAGATCTCTACCTGAAGTAAGAGGCACTCACACACACTGACAGTGGTACAGTGATCTCTAAGTGACCTGCACAGCTGGACTGAGGTGCTCATCAGCTGCATGAATGACTGAGATGTTGTCATATGATAACTCATAAGGACATGCTCAGAATGTGAGGAATGATCACTAAAACTGTTGCCTTTGTAAAGGGGAAACATCCATTATGGCTTCTGTCAGGCTGTGAAGTTCAGGAATGTTTTAATGATTTAAGAAAAGTCTGTCCTTTTTCTCGACCCATTCAATGAAATAATTAGATTATTTTACTTATAATTACTTATTTTATTCTTTTGTAAATTGTATTTTAAACTTCAATTCAGGAAGTTTTTTGTTCATATTCTGTTCCTTTTGTTGTTATCAATACATGTCACCCATTCTTTGTTTTTTTCTCATTTTGGTTTTTAAAATTGGACTAATCTTGCTAAAATATTGTTAACAGTCTTTTTCCCCTTGGTTGAATTTTGTTGAATATTTAAATTAAAACATTTTAGAGTCTAAGCCATGCAACTACTGCAGTACTTTGTGCTAATAATCCTAATATATGCTTGATTAAAAAGAAAATTTGCACCTGTGCCTAAGGTATATCAGTGTGATCTGAGGTGAAGAAGGGATTATCCTCCTCAGATCAAAAGGCATGTATTGTCACATTAATCAGGTGCTAGGGTTAATAATACACATGTATTAACCTACTTCATTTACAAAATCACACAGACATTATGTTGGATATGAACACAGCTTAAGCTTGACAAACGTAGCAACTGCACCAAAAGGAAAGAAAGTAAATCCTGTCTTCTCCCTGGGTGTCTGTTAAGAGATACAGGGATGTGATCCACTCGAGCTTTGTTTTCCATCTATCATGAGGTCATTACTGGCTGCTGTCATCATTAGCTGCCCCCTGGATGAAGACTTGATCCTGTGCAGCAGGGCCTGGCGTTGACCCAACTTCTCACTTTGTTTACCTTGGACACTCATTAAAGGCATGTCATGTCTTTAATAACTTAATTGGACAAATCCAAACTAATGGCTTCAGGAATGACACTATTCCTCCCTTAGAGCAGGTGCAATTTTATGCTTGGTTTGTCACTGGCTGATCATGATAATGTTATGGCTCAGGAATTTTACTTTGAAAGGAGATTCTGGACTCATTAGTTAGATCGGACTTTTTGGTCTATAAGGGTCTTGATATTTTACAGTTACTTATCTTCACCATGGTAAGAATGTGAGTGAAATCCAGAGTATAAAAAGCTTGGTGTTTGTTTCTATAGTTACACCCAACAGTGTTTGTGTGTGTCCCCTTTTTATTCTTGACTGGTCAAGTGAGGAGGGCAAGATTTATTTAGAGGATGCAATGAAAAGTGTGATACAGAATGCCTGGGTGCAGATGGCATCTCTGCTATTTGGCCCACACATCGGGGAAGGTGGCTGAGTGGTTCGCAGTTGCTTCACTTAAGCTGTGTTCAGATCTAACATCATTTCTGTGTGATTTTATAAATCAAGTAAGTCAATACCTGTGTTTTATTTATTTAATATATGCATGGCAAAATGCACCATGCTTTTAGCACCAAATAACGTTTCTATACATTTATACTTCAGAGATTTCCATCTATACAGAGATTTACTTTAACATAGTAATCCTTTAAAATATTACAGTATCCAAAGTAGACATTTTAAATTTAAGACTTTAAAGTTTCCCTCCAAACATTATCCCTTGAAAGATTTCAGTCCTGATAATTATAAACTTTTTTTTTATACATCTGAGTTTATGTGGCTAATTTACATATGAATATGTACTTGATATAAAATTAATCCTAAACAGATCTCAATATATTGATTAACATACAGTAAGTGACGATAAAAGATTCAGCTTCTGTTATTGAAAGAACTGTGTGAAAATGTTTGAGTAATGCACACGGATCCCTTCATCAAGTGTCAGGCCCGACTCAAAAGATGATCCATAAAAGGCTACTAGGTATTTTTATCTTAACATGACCTTGCACACCATACTGAGTACACATTCTCACATTCTCACTGCATCCAGTGACTGACTGCTCGATTTCTCCACGCCCTGCTTTGTCGGTATCTATAAAGAAAAGGCCGGTTCAATGTATTTTCTTTTTTTGGGGCATTAAATATGTTTAATGAAACCATTTTATCATAAAGCAGGGGATTACAAGACTGGATACTGCAAATTTTAAATTAACTGACTGCCTTTCTGCCTTTGACGCTCATCAAAATGTGTTAATAGGGGACTTCCTCGACAAATGTTCAAGTTTCTAGCAGCTTTTTGAGAGACCATACACCTGTCCTACCAGCTGATGTGAGGTTATTGTCTCTCAGTGTGAGTCAGCAGCAACAACGGTGCCGAGCTGTCCCACTGACACAGCTTTATTGGAATCTTGCCTAGAGAGCAGAATACGAAAAGACTTCAGCCAATTGTTAGACAGTTATGTATATTTTATTATTTTGCTAGTTATAATAATATACTTTATTTTTCTTGTTTGATTCAAACCTAGATAAAATTAAATTACATTATGATAATATAGAACAAACTGGAGGGAAAAAAACACAATAAGTTGACGACTTTGTGCATCTCTAGCTGTAACTGAGAGTTGTGCATTTCAGAATGTGTTCCCTCTACCCTGACTAGTGCTGAGATACAAGAGCTTGACCTTGACATAAAGACTTTAAAGGTTCAGTAATTAAAGAATGGTTAACTTATTAACATATGACCCATTATCCCACAGCTGAATAGATGCACCAGTCTCTCAAGCTGACTTAAATTGATATTTAAACCACTTGTAAAGATATTTACCCAAAATCAACTTCATACTGATGAAAGTCTTTATAGTCCACAAGAATTGTTTTTTTAAATCATCAATTTATCCACAGATTTTAGCCATTAGGAAAACCTGTGCTAAACACTAAAACATAAAGTTTCTAGACAAGTAAATGTTTATATTCGAGAAAAAAAAGTCAAGAATTAGACATTTTTGATTATGGAGAATTAGATAATCTATAGTATACATAGTCTTCAAATATTGTCAGTTATGGAAACTGGGACAATCAATTTGATTCTCAGAATCAGCTAAAGTGGGACAGAGTAGATTGTCACCCTCATTTGTTTCAGTTAGAGAAAGGCAGAAGAGTGGGTGTTGGTTGGGGGAGCACTTTCACAGTCTTGTCCAATGGTTTTTCTTAAATTAGCCATGGGGGCAGGAGGCTCCCTCCCTGTGCTGACAGAAGGAGGAGCCTGTGCCTGTCACTGTCTACTGTTTCACTATTACCTGCACAGCCCTGCAGCATTCAACACACTTCTGTCTCTGTGTGACCACATAGAAGCAGAGAGACACACAGAGGACACTTTCTGAGGCCCATACCAACACAGAGGGTTTTCTTTTTTAAATGATTTCTCCCCTTTTGGGACACATATCTGCCTGCTTCTGCTGACTTTTTAAATTAAGGCATCTTGCTGCAGATATGGCAGGTTGTCTGAAAAGTTCCCCACTTTGTAAAAAGGGGGAACTTTTGAGATGCCTAATTGTGACTTTTGCTCTTAGTCTCTGTTTTGCATTAGTAGATGCAGAACCTTTTGACCCAGCTCATCTTTACCACCACAGATCAGGACCTAATGAAGACAATATTATCATCGCTAACAATGGAATCAGGGTGCCTTTTGGGAGGTCAGTATTTTTGGACCCTTTGAATGACCTGGTAACAGAAGTGCAGCCTGGTGACCGCTGCCACATCACTGTTTTGGACAATGACCCACTGGCCCAGAAACCTGGCATGCTGACTCCAAAAAAGTTCCCTTGTTCGTTTGGACCAGACGAAGTGAAATACACTCATTTTGGATCTCGGAGCCCAAGCAAGGACCGTGTGAAGCTGCAGCTTCGTTATGACTCCCAGACAGACACAGTCATCACCCCTTTTATGCTGGAGGTAGAGGTGGTTTTCCAGCAACTAGAGGTCCTCACCAGGAATATGCCCCTAAATGTTGAAAAGCTTACTGGTGACAGCAACCCTATTGACAAAAAGGGTCTGGAGTTCTCCTTTGAGGATGGCGTCACACAGTGTAAGATCACAACTCTGGTCGGGGCTGGAGGTCTTCCAAGGTATGGCACCCTTTTGAATAATCCCTCAAATGGCCAAATGGTTGACTGTGATGAGTTTGTGAAACAGGGCATTCGCTACAAGCACACAGCTAAAACCAACTCACCAAACAGAGACTATATTCCAATGATGGTAGAGCTGCAAGATAACGAAGGCAACGCCATAATGCAAGAGTATTTCCAAATGATGGTTAGAATCAGGGAGGGTGCAGAGAATACTGCTCCTAAACCCAGTTTTGTAGCCATGATGATGATGGAGGTTGATCAGTTTGTGATGACAGCTATTACAAGTGACATGCTTTCTGCTGAAGATGTTGAATCTGACTCAGATGATTTGATTTTCAACATCACTTCCCCACTGAGCCCTCAGCAGGGTTATATCATTAGCACAGATGATCAGAACTTGCCTATCACTTCTTTCTATCAGAGAGACATCCGAGATCTTAAAATAGCTTATAAGCCGCCCTCAGAGGATTCAGAAGTAGAAAGGATTTTTCAACTAGAGCTTGAAATTGTTGATACCGATGGCGCTGTGTCTGATACATTTGCTTTCATGATTGTGGTGAAGCCAATGAATACCTTGGCTCCTGTGGCGACCAAAAATACAGGACAGCTATTGTTTGAAGGGCAGTCCAGAGCTCTCTCCAGCTCCCAGAATTTAGAGATTAGTGATGAGGACAACCTTGAAGATGTCAAAATAACTGTGGTTGATGGCTTAAAGCATGGAGACCTGACCGTGCTCGGTTCTCGCAGGAAATTCTTTACACCTGCCGATCTAGACTCAGGTATTGTGGTGTACCAGCATGACGGCAGTGACACCTATAGTGATAACATTATTTTTAGAATGACTGATGGCAGTAATGAAGTGGAGTTTTTGTTCCCCATCACTATTGCTCCCACTGATGATGAGCCACCTATTATAAATGCTAACACTGGCCTGGTGCTATTCAAGAATGAAGTCATGCAGATCTCTCCCTTCATCCTGAGTGCCACAGATATTGATTCAGAAGATTCCACCATTAAATTTGTCTTGGAGGCTCCCTACTCCACTGTAGGCGAGCTCCTGCTAAGGCAAGTCGAGCCTCCCTCTGACCCATCTCTCTGGAAGTTCAGCGAGACAGATGAGATGTTTGAGCAGGTGGTAACTGAATGGTTCCAGCAGGATATTCTTGATGGAAAACTTTTCTATCGTCACATTGGGCCACATAGCACCACCACTGTAATCGATCATTTTGTTTTCCGTGTTCAGGATGACAATGATCCTCCTAATCAATCAGGCGAACACATGTTCTCCATCAAAATACATCCTGTTGATGACCTTTCCCCAGAGCTTCTTCCAGGCACAACCCTTCACATGACAGTTCAAGAGTACGAATTAACACACTTTAATAAGAAATTTTTGTGTTACACTGATTTAGATTCAGATGACAGGGACCTGAAGTACACCATCATTAAAACCCCAACTGACACTGATGAGAACAATCCAGCACCCTTGGGTGATATTGTCTTGACTGACAGCACTGATACTGTAATTACAGAGTTCACACAGGCCCAGGTTAATCACCACAAAGTAGCCTACAAGCCTCCAGACCAGGAGCTGGGCATCACTCCAAAAGTGGCTCAGTTCACTTTTATTGTGGAGGACACTGCTGGTAACACAGTAGATGGACTTTTTACCATTTTCTTACAGCCAGTTGACAACAAACCCCCAGTTATCACCAACACAGGGTTCACTGTTATGGAAAGCAGTACATATATCATCACTAGGAAAGAGCTTCATGCCACAGATACAGATACAGAAGATGAAAATATCGTCTTCACCCTGACCCAGATTCCTGTGTACGGCAAGCTGGAGTACTTAGGGATTATCATGACAAGTGGTGAAACATTTGTACTTGAAGACATTGCAAATGGCCGCATAGCATACATCCACAGTGGAGAAGAATCACTTAGTGATGTCATTAAGATTGATGTCAGTGATGGTTTTCATGAGGTTCCGATCATCATAAAGATTGCCATCGAGCCAGTTGATGATGAGTCCCCCACAATTATGCTCCCAGAAGGTCTGCTTGGGTCATCCATCGATGTGCTGGAAAATGGTGCTACAGAGATCACAAATAATGTCATTCAGGGCCGTGATGAAGACACGGATGACCTCATGCTCACATTTATTGTTGAAGAGCCACCCAGGTTTGGTGAAATCCTGGTTCATGGTGCTCCTGCTGAAAGATTCACCCAGGAAGATATCATCAATGGGGCAGTGGTGTATGCTCACACATCGGGTGAAATTGGTCCTGTCAAAAACCACGACTCCTTCAACCTCACTCTGTCTGATTTGTCAGATCAGTGGGTTGTTGGTGGCAACAAGGTCCAAGGTGTGACAGTTCATGTCACCATACTTCCCGTTGACAGTATTCCACCTATTGTGAGTGTTGGAGAGCAGTTTGTTACTTTGGAAGGGGAGAAGAACATCATAACCCCGAGCCACATCCAAGCTGAAGATATAGACACTGATGATGATGATATCCTTTGCACTATCATTGTCCAACCAACATCGGGTTATGTGGAGAACATCTCCCCAGCAGCAGGTTCTGAGAAATCCAGGGCAGGAACAGCAATTACAGCTTTTAGCATTAAAGATGTTACCCTGGGTCATATCTACTATGTGCAAAGTATCCACAAAGGAGTTGAACCTGTGGAGGATCGTTTCACCTTTCGCTGCTCAGATGGTATTAACTTCTCTGACCGGCACTTCTTCCCCATAGTCATCCTTCCAGCCAATGATGAGAAACCTGAGATTTATATCCGGGAGTTTGTGGTAATGGAGGGCATGAGTCTGGTCATTGACACACCTATTCTAAATGCTGCTGATTCTGACATCCCTGGGGATGAGCTGCACTTTGAGATCATCAAAAAACCTAAACATGGTTCAATAGTTCAGCAACTCAGCACTGGAACCATCATTGTAGAAAATTTTGATTTGGAACAGATAAAAGAGGCATCCAACATTGTTTATGAACATGATGACTCAGAGACCAAAGAGGACAGCTTTGAAATCAGGTTATCAGATGGGAAACATAAAGTGGAAAAAACTGTTCTCATCATGGTAATTCCTGTTGACGATGAGACACCAAGGATGGCTATAAATGATGGTCTTGATGTTGAGATTGGAGAGACAAAAGTCATCAGCAACAGGGTTTTGAAAGCAACAGATCTTGACTCTGAAGACAAAGAACTAATTTATGTTGTGCGTTATGGCCCAGGGCAAGGCTACCTTCAGCGTATCAGCAAGTTTGGCGATGTTTTGGGTAACATTACCCTGGGAATGAACTTCACACAGGATGAAATTGACAAACAGCTTATTCAGTATGTTCACACAGGCCAGGAGGGAATTCGTGACTTGCTGAAGTTTGATGTCACAGATGGAATCAATCCCCTTATTGATCGTTACTTTTACATCAACATTGGAAGCATTGATATGGTTTTTCCTGATGTTATCAACAAAGGTGTAACTCTAAAAGAAGGGGGGAAAGTAACTCTTACCACTGACCTCCTAAGCACTACAGACATTAACAGTCCTGATGAATACCTCAGCTTCAGCATAACAAGAGCACCTAGTAGAGGTCACTTAGAGAGCAGCGATCAACCAGGAGTGCCCATTTCCACCTTCACCCAACTGCAGCTTGCCGGCAACAAAATCTATTACATCCACACCTCTGATGATGAGATGAAAATGGACAGCTTTGAGTTTGAGGTGACAGATGGTTTCAATCCTGTCTTCCGTACGTTCAGAGTTTCCATCACTGATGTAGACAATAAAAAACCGGTCTTGACCATAAACAAACTTGATGTAGAGGAGGGGGAAACTAAGCTGATCACCCCATTCGAGTTGACAGCTGAAGATCGGGACACTCCAGACAACTTCTTGCGATTCATAGTAACCCAGGTGCCAGTGCACGGGCAGCTACTTTACAACAATACCAAGCCAATCACCACCTTTACCAAGCAGGACTTAAATGAGAACCTAATCAGCTATAAGCACGATGGCACAGAGACAAACGAGGACAGCTTCTCTTTCACTGTCACTGACGGCACTCATACTGAGTTTTACATCTTTCCTGACACTGTGTATGAGACACGCAAGCCCCAGATGATGACCATCCACATCAACACCGTGGACAATGGTGTGCCCCAGATTGTGGTAAACAAAGCGGCGGCCTCACTTAAAGTCCTCCAAACAGGTCATCTTGGATTCCTGATCACCAGCAAGGCCCTTCGATCAGAGGACCGTGACAGTGCCCAGAAGGTACTGAAGTACACTGTGTCCGAGGCTCCTCTGCATGGTTTCATCATAAACACAGCCCTTGGCAATGACAGCATCAAGACCTTCACACAAGGTATGCTAACTGCACATTGTTTCATCCCTTAACAAAGCTTTTAATGAGTCAGGCTGCCTAATTGAATTTAATATCTGGATTAAACAACCCTATGATGGCCAATATGAGAGAGATCAATTTTGACCTGATTTAGCAGTTACTCTAATGTTTACATAGTGTTAAGAGATTTTTCAGAAGAACTTTTGCTATTGGTTCCGGCTTACCAATGTCAGCGATTAGCAATAAGCAGTGTTCAGCTAACAAGCTCCTACAAAGCCCAGAAAACCCACTATGCTAGACATATAGCCCCAAACAGCAGATATATAGATATATAGAAAAAGGATAACTCATCAGGTTGTTCAAGTAAAGTATAATTGATAGAGAATACATTTTGCAAGACAAAATGACAACTAATGATTATAATGGGTGTGCACTATATAGAACTTAAGATGCTTAAATAATTTATTAAAACTGTTTGATTTTTATAAGGAAGTTAGTATTTTTAGTCCCTTCATTAAAATAACTAAAGATTACATTTCTGAAATAGATATTTTAACAATTTGGCCTTTGCTTGAAATATCCCTCAATTTCTTCTGTTGCCTACACTTTAATAGCAGCCTAAGGGCTGTATCTAAAGCCTTGTGAAAGTGGTTTAGTCGTCACAGTTATCTTTTCGTTTTCAACTAACCTTTTCTCACAACATTTTTATTACCAACAGCTGATATCGATGACATGAAGATCTGCTACGTGCTGTTAGATGGGAGCAATGCCACGAATGATATCTTCTACTTCACAATCGAAGACAACGGTAGGAGTCCTTTAACCTTTCACACTTGTGTGTGCTGACACCAAACTGGGTCCCATTGCTGGGGAATAATTTGCCCAAAGGCTGTCCTTAGACTTTATCTGCCCTTTGATGTCTTTTTAGAATTTAAACTTCCTGCTCTCTGTCACTCTCCCAAGTGTTTGCATGACAAAGACTTAAGGCAGTTGGCCATGACTGACACGCAGTATAGAGCCGCCATCTCTTGTCGCCCCACTGGAAAGAGTAGCAGGTTTTAAGTACAGGGGCCAAACACTGACTGTGTGCTGGTAAAAGTGAAAGTGTGTAGGGACTACCTCATGCTCTAAAGTTATTGGTAAAAGGACAATAGGATCCTTGCCTCCGGGGTACTTCTGTGAGTTTTCAAATGTTGCCTTTTATGCTGTGCTTGCAAGGACACTGTGAAATGTGTGACGATATGCTTGATGAGCTATTTCAGTTGAAACCTATTCTAAGAATCTGTCGCCCAAGAAAACATGTTTTAGTCCGGCCTCGAAAACTACATGAACCTCATAAAAAAAAGAGAGCACTGGGAATTGCATTCCAACCTATTATATTAATTAAATTTGATCAATGAAGAGTTTTTCAATATCTCTTTCCTGGGTTACCTCTAATCAACAACCAATAACTATTTTTTCCTGTCTCTTTTCACTAGGGCACTGCACTTAAAGGGTCTAGGTTTCAGTAATTCAATGTATCTTCTGGATATTATATTTCATTATAGTCCTCTGTAATATATGCTTTACTTTTAAAATGTTTAAATATCTATAGCTATAACATAACATGGTCTTCTGTCAACGTGTTTGTATTCCATTTATACAAAAGAATTCTCTTATATGAACCAGATCTGCACCGAACAGCCATTACGATGTAATGTATAAGCTCTGTGGCCTATCACCTCTTACTCTTAGGTAGATTTACTCGAAGAGCATTACAAATATAGCAGATGCAAAGCATTAAAACACAACAGGTGGCCTTTGCTATTTTAGTATTAGCTATAAAATGCAAACAAGATTAAGAGCTGCAATTGAAGAAGTTTATTCTATACTTACACTAGTTTGAGGACCATGTTAGTGAAACTTCCAACATTATAATCAAGGCCATTGAGAAGCCAGGACTCAGAGGATGTGTCTTTTGTCTTGATTGCAGTCTTTTTAAAGTGTAGCCTCTCATTAACTCAAGCTAAATCAGTTATTAACTTTTCCCCCCATTACTGTCATTTATTTTTGAAAACTCCATTTTGCTTTCAAACATTTTTTAAGGTGGTTTAAGCACACACACACACACACCCACACACAATATACAGACACATTTGGAAAAAGATCAAATAGTCTATAAAAGCTTCAGCCAGTTGATGAATCACTGGAGTGAAGTGTTGAAGAGGTGAATCCTGGGGGATGTGAAGTTATCCTGGACATGTAGGGACATGAAGGAGGAGAGCAAGCTAATGGTCAGCTTATCTGCTCTTAGATCTAAGTAGATGAGATCTTTGAACGGGAAGCTAAAGTCTTGGTCACTGCAAATTTGCACCAAAGATCATTCCCTTAACGGTGTTTCTGTTCCCATACTTTTGCACAAAGGTATCTTTTTACAAAGAGTTTAATTTGACAGAAAATTAACCAGAATTGATTGATTGAAAACATTAACCTCTCCAGTTCACACTTGTCTTTTGGACAGTAAAAGGTCCTTGAAAGACATTTTACCCCAAATATCAGAGTGATTAAAAACTCTTTAGCTAAGTAAGTTATTTTGTTTAACACATCTTAAGTGTGACCTCAATTTAGGAAATACCCCTGAGATGCACTGATAGGGGCAGTTGCTTAAGGGTCTTAGCACCCTGTAGAAGGTACCTGCCTCTACATGCACTGCACTGGTCTTTCCTCACAAGTCAAGACACACACACACACACACACACACACACACACACACACTTAGCACAAATACACACAGTCTGAATAATTAACATATCAACAGACTAGTGAATCACTTTTGCATTTCTTACAAGTTTCATAAGTTAGATATATTTTCTAAGCAGGTGTCTTAAAGTTTCTTGAAATCAAATGAAGAGGCTTGAAAGTGTCGTGTCTCAAGTAGTGTTAGCATGTGTGTGGTCAAAGACAGCTGAAGTGTGTGTTTGCTTGAGGTCAGGAGCTGACATTTCAGTTTTACACCTTAAGACTCAGAGTCAACCTGCTGGTCAGTGGCAAAATCTCAGACTCTGAGGAGGGAGGTTGTGTAGCTCTATCAAGTCAGAACGAACCAAGCAGCCTTTATGGTCTATATATCTCTTAGCAGAAATGTGATAGAGGTCCAGAAAACAATTGGTCAAGCTGAGGATGCTACAACGCATAATGTTAAGTTTGGGTATAGATTTTTCTAGTTTTGTGCAACAGGAATAGTCATAAAAAGCAAAGATAATCTCCCATTGTTCAATAGAAACATTGGGAGTAGTGAGATATGAATAATCTATTGAAATTTGCCATTACTTTTATTTCATCCAAATCTAAACTTAAAACAAATTATGCTACCTCTTTAGCAAAGTCGTTATCACCTAAGCAGCATTTAATGATTATGAAAGGAACTTTGAATTGAGCCCTTGGTGAACAAATGAATGACATTATTTATTTGGCATTTTAACTGTATTAAAATCTTAATGATTTAAAATATACAATAAATATTTTTTTTAAACTGTAAGAAAAAATGAACTATTCTCTTGAATTGGTTTGACCTCACACACAAACTGAAGTTCAACTTGGGTCAGTCAATCTGTCCGCTGGGTATTTCTATTGAAATAACAATAATCTATATGCAAGTGATCAGGTCCGAAGCTGCCTACGAACATTCAAAGATAGGGATACTGAGGCAATAAATACTTGTTTTTACAAGTCGATACACAGCTCACATCCTTGTCCATCAGGTATTGGCCCAGTGAGCCAGAGGCTAAGAGGAGAAACGTTTATTTATTCTCAGACGTGTTGAGACATTTTGGAGTTTCTTAGTCTTAGAACTAGGGTAATGTATTTGTGTTAGATGTTTGGACTCTGGTGTGTATTGGTATTTAGAAGCATTGCCTCTCCTCGCCAGTTTAAGGTGCAAGATAGCCTCAGATTACACTGCAGTACTAATCAAACGTTAAAAGATTGGAAGAAAAAGACAAGCGAGCCTCTGCATTCAGAATAGCTGACTCAATCTCTGTGCTTTTTTCAATAGCAACAATATAGTCTTCCAGCTCTGCAAAGGGTTCGTAGACGCCTGTGTGTTGAGTGTTATGTGATCATTCAGAGCCGGGAGAGGAATGCACTTCCTCCGAGACTGCAGACTCCAGGGCCACAGACAGAGCAGGGCCTGGAAGTGAATCGGTATCCCGTGCAGACAGGTGTGTACGTGAGAGGGAAGGCTCCATTGGGATCCCCTTTCAAAGCCCCCTCGTCACCCCACTCCCAGCTCCCCAGAAATCCAACCCAATCCTTGATAGCCCGATAACCTACAGAGTTCTACTGACGAGGTGCTTTCACTAAAGGGGCACTTCCCAGGAGAGGGCAAAGATATCAAGAATAGGAAAAGGTAAAAAAAAAAGAAAAAAAGAAATGTTTTTATATTTATCTCTTTTAAAGTGGGACTTTTAATTAATTTTACTCATACACTGGATGAACAGTGACATACTGTACAGTAGGACTGAGTTTTGAGTGACAGAGCCATGTTACATCCCGACTTCCTAACTGTGTTTGGGGTTCTTACATGTCACCAATGTCAACAGTCACAGAGAGATTTACTGTCTAATGGTGCCACTGCCGGGGGGGCCCCCTGTGACCAGAAGAAGCTGTGGCCTCTCAGACCCAATCCACCACACCCCACTCTCCCTTTCTCTCCACCTCCAACACCCCTTCATGGTATTACTGCTCTTTTTCTTTGGTGTTTTCCTCATTTCACCTCTTCTCCATTTCTTCCCCTGTTCTTTCCGGACTCCCAGATCCCTTTCAATTAACAATGCTTTAACCTAGTTCTGTCATTCTTTCCATTTTAGAGGGCTGTAGGGGTGGGGAGTTATGATGTATGGCTACACCAGTTATTCTTATCTGCTCTCTCATATGGCAAAGCTGTTGCTGCCTCTAGCCAAGCTGTCATTGAGATACTCTTGCTCCCTCCCTTGTCCTTTCTTTTAAGCCACACTTTCTGAATGGCTTTAAAAACTATTGAATGGACAGTCATGGAATTTGATATATCTTGTCATCATTTTAAGTATCAATATTAAATATTTTCAGTTAAATATATGTCTGTTTATAGATTATCATTGAACTTGGTTATAATTCAACTCTTCAATACAAAATTTGATTTGATAAGGGGCTAATAGGCCCCTTCATCTGATTTGCTCACCACCTTAGTTGTTTGTGAAGTACATTTTTTTCCAGATTCTGCTAGCTTTGCAAAGGTCCTTTTTACCCATGAAGTACAGCAGTGACTTTAATCTTACAAAAGAACAAAAACATGTAGCTTTTTAACTGACTGATTTCGGCTATATGATATTGTTTTTATCTCTGAGAAGTGAAGTCCAGTGTGATCCAAAAGCTCACCTGCAGTTATCAGAAATCACCAGTTTCATTTCTAGTTGCTACCAAAGGGATTGAAATGTAGGCTTTCATGTTTGTAACTAACTATCAGGGTAGTGCAACTATCAGGTCCATTTTTACATCTTTTACCGGACTTTAACACCAAATGCTCATAAAAGTTAAGATAGTCCCATCATTATCAAGTCTACCTAATTTTAACATGTTAATTTCAACTCAAACTTTCACTTCATTAGACACTATGAGCAAGAAACATGACTTGACATCATCATGTGATGCCATGTGACAAATTTAGACAGTTCAAAGCCATCCAAGTAAAACGTTGGATTATTTTGCATCGGTATCATTCTGCACAAAGTAGTTTGACAAAACTAATATATTATGACCAAGAAAATCCCTATATTACTTTTTTTTAATCTT